TTTCTGCAAGTGCTAATGCAGATTTAATTAGAATTAGAAAAAAAAAAAAACCAAGAGTATTATCCCACATCGATAACAAACAATTTAGATAGTGATCTATGGAGTTACATAAAGAGAAGAAATTTGACTAAAGAATTCACTTACCTGGACGAGGTCAATAGGCGATCAATAAGACCTATGGCCTATGCTGGCAACCTCCATTGCACCTTGGAGGGGTGCTCGCGTAAGGTCGGCCCAAGTGGTCGAGCCTGCGTCATAATTTGTGTTAGAGGGGGCCTGCGTTCGCGCGGCCCCCACCCAAAACTAGTTCAAAATGCTATCTTAATTAAATAGTTTATATAATTATTAAATTAACTTGAATAATTAGGTTTAGTATTACAAATCCCTTTCACAAATAACTTAATTAAATTAAAAGTAACTAATTTTGTTAGAGTTGGTAGGAACAATATTTTTAAATCACAAACTCTTGTTGCCTTGAAATTTTTCTGATAAATTCAAAACAAATCCATGTGATATCATATGTATATGTTGAAGTGAGTGAAAATCCACGTATTTAGATTTTTTCAATTATGTACAATTTATAGGTCACCTATATATTCAAACATCATTTCTTGATTTCAACCATTAACAAATTTAAAAAAAAAAAATACCCTTACCTTTCTTACCTCATTTCACAGTACTTTCAAAAAACTTTTTGATTTCTTCATACAAAGATGGCCATCCGACAAATGTTACAACGATCTTTTTATCCAACGAAAGAAGATCAATCGAAGTTCCAAAGGGCCATTTAGCAGTTTATGTTTGAGAGTGAAAAGAAACGTTTCGTTATTCCACTATCATCTTTGAATCATCATTTGTTTCAAGATTTGCTATGCCAAGCCGAAGAAGAATTTGGATTTCAGGCCTTACAATTACTTGTAGTGAAAAGATCAATTGGTTAATTTAACTTCTCGTTTCAGAAGAACATGACATGTATGGATATATATATGTATAGGAGGTTCGCAATTTTGTAATTTAGTCTTTTTTCTCGAGACAGATTCTTCTCGTTTACTATATGAAAGAAATATATATGAAACCACAAAATTAGAGTACATATACAAAATACATATTCGAGCGACAAGTTTTCTTATTTATGATACTCTATAGTAGTTACATTACAAGTTGAATCAAGTTCAATAAACTATTTTTTGGTTTTGTTTTGATGTGGGATACTTGTCTTCAGTACAAGAAAACAATAATTCTTAAATAAATTTGAAGGGCTTTTCAAGGCTAATTTATTACAATTTGCCACTTACTTGCAGTATTAATAAAGTTGAGAGAAAATTAAAGGAATGGCAAAAAATCAAAACAAGGTAAACGATAACCATATGCAATTGATGTGAACGTATCATTTCCATTATATATATGATAATGCAAAATCTAGGTTAAAATTTGTCGTTTCCATTAAGGCTCTGATTGATTCATGAATGTCAAAATAAGGAAAACGAAATGCAAAAGAAAAGGAAATCAATGACGACTTTTGAAATCCTAATTGTGTTTAGTTCCTAAGAAAAAAGGTGATGAAAATTATTTGAGGAAAATCACTTTCTTTAGTTTTGTTTTGTAATTTGAAGTAAACATTAAAATAAAACATATTAAATAATTGAACAGTTTTTTTTTTTTTTACAAAAGATTTAATCAAAATTATATTCTCTTCCTTTTCATTCGTCCAATAAACCAAAATTAGTTTTCTACCATAAAAATATTATAAAAATAAATAAATAAATAAACAAAATTATTTAACACCCACCCACTCACTCACCAACCAAAACGATATTTATATCGTTACGGAAGAAGAAAGAGATGCAGGAATGGGGAGAGAAACGCGGTGGCGGCAGCGGATCGACGCGGTTGCTCCGGCGAATTGACCTGTGGCAGTGGCTGGGATGGTTCTAGCGGCACCGGAGAGATTGTCGGCGGTGGTGGAGGCGGTGGTTGTCGGTGGTGCCGGAGAGGTGGTGGAGGCGGCAGTTGTCGGCGTTCGGAATGGAGGTGGAAGCCCAAATTTCTGCTTTATTATTCGTTGTATATCCGATATTTTTGGAAAAAGCAGAGACAAAATTCCAACATCATCTCGGATAATTCCACCAATACCCGCTATTCCTATGTATTTATTTGACGAGCCATCAGAGTTGAGTTTGAACCAGTTTGTTGGGGGAGGTTTCCATTTGAGAGTTAAAGTAATTTTTGGAGGTTTAGGTTGGGTATTTTGGAGGGAATAGTGTGACATATTCCAGATTAAAAAGTTATTAATGGGTTTATTTTGGAAAATGAATTCGTTTCTAGCTTTCCACATCGACCAAAATAGGATCGCAGTTTGATTATAAGAAAAGTGATGTTTTGCGATTTTATAAAGGTGGGAGCATATATTGAATTTTGTAGTATTATTGGTCCAAGGGATTTTTATTCTGGTAGGGATATTGTTATTGTTGAATGCAAGAATCGGAAGATCGACTTAACAATTAGAACTGTGGCAGAAGAACCTTTGTTGTGTTATCATAGGAATATAGTTAACCTCTTCGATAGCCATTATTAAGTTTTGTCTTTAATTCATTGTCCCTGATTGAATTGCGTAGGGATACAATAATTTAGTCATGAATAATAGAATTGTAATACACGTGGAAGCGAGTTATGATTAAATTAACATCTCAGGTTAATAATCCGAGTTATTTGTTTGCATAATTGAGAGAATTGGAGGATCGATGATCACATAGAAGAATGATAAAGTAGTAGGCCTTCTTAATTTGATTAATCTTCGTGTTATTTGCTTATTTGTTGTTGCTTCCTCTTATTTGCTTTTTATAATTTAGTGTACTTTAGTTTAATCAACTCACCATTCAATTGTGTAGGGTGGACTAGAACATAACTTGTACAATCTAGCACTTAGAATTAATTAGTAGTTGAATATTTCTCATGGGATCGATATCCAAACTTAATTTCTATATTACTTATTCGATACGTGAACTTGCGTGTAGGTATTTTCACCGGCATGAGTCTGTGAGACTCTATGAGGATTCCTAGCATAGCAAGTACACTTAGAAAAATAATCACATAATTATACATGTACATACATATATAGATACATATACCTAAATCACCATTCTACTAAGAAATTTTATAAAATTTAACTTTTATGAATGATTTACGCAGAATATTCGAAATGTTGCGAGTTGGGACATTAAATATGAATCCAAAATTTCCATAAAGGTCACATAATTTTTTCAGAAACACTTGTGTTGCGATGAATAACAAATAACGTAGCAAATGTACATTATATTCGTTTTACTTTTTTCGCAATGAACATTTCCATAAATCACGCAACACGTTTTAAACCTTTTTTTTCTTCTTGTTTTCTATATATATGCGAAGAATATCGCAAAAAGGTCGCAAGATGTCCTTTTATTTCCCTACTCTTCGTGTTTTTTTAATCACCGTCGGCTACACTCTGTCGCCATTGGCCAGCTTACATTTTCGTATATATTTTTATATCAATCATCATCTAAAGAACGTGCGACTAAAGAGGGGCTATTGTCTATTAGGCTTGTACTTCTCAGACCGTAAAATATTTAAGACCTAGTACAACACTAAGGGGTCCTATAATTAATGCACGAACCTAATAAAAAGAGATCGTACACCCATTGTACTTAACCTAATATAAGTGAAATAAAATAACCAGGTTTATTGCAGTTAGTACCCCTGTCTTATATCGAATTGTCTCGTGTTATTTTATTGGCAATGCTTCAAGTTTTTTTAGCACACAATTCCCTAATAAACAAGGGTACTAATTGGTAAAAAAGAAAAATTTAATATGGGGAATTTGCTAATAAAATAACATACAGAAGTTCTTTAGCAGTTCGATATAATTCATGGCCGTAGTAATTGCAATAAACTCTAAAATATCCACTAAATACAATTCAAACATGAATAATCATAATCATAATCCATTAATTTATAACGTCCAAAGATAATTAAATTTTCTCAAAACTTTTATCCCGAAATCAAAAACCTTATCTTGTTCTTCTCCAAATTAAACACAACTATTCAAAATTTTATTAGTCCAACAAGTAATTAAATAAAGTAGACTTAGTTATAATCATGTTTTCATAAATTATATTATTTTAAAATATCGTCGATGACAAATGTAGTACTATATTATATTCATGACGGCCTAATAATTCGTTACATTTCCCTTTTCGTAAGTTAAAGTTGCGTGCGTAAAAAAAAGTAATAACTAAACGGTGAAATGGAGTTATGATATTTGAGCTAGGTCGTGCACTGCATATACTCTGCAGATTTGCTTATTACGAGTTCAATCGTTGTCGTTCATTAGCATATAGTTAACTTTGAATGAATATGCAGCTTAATGGAATCTATTATCTGAATCCCTTCTCTATCGTCTGACGACAATTCTTACGTACTTACGTATCTTCATTTAAATTCTTAAATAAATTTAGAATGTATCAAAGGAAGAACTATGTATCGTACATATATTAGAGCAGTACAGTCTACATTCTTTGATTTTTTTTAGCCTATAGTTGCATGCAAGGTTCTGAAAAGCGCTTATCGGGTCCGAGGAGGTTAGGGCCCGCCACACGAGAAATCGGTACGGTGGTAATTAATCGGAGATAAATCGGAAATAAATCGGCTTTTAGATTTAGTGCAATATATTTCCAAATATTATTTGTAAATTAATACTCAAAACATTTATAAAGAAATATTTAAACATGATTCTATCCCCACCACAACCCGCAGCCGAGCACCGCCTCAGTCTTTAGCAGCCGTCGGCAGAGTGTGGTTTGTTTTGGGTTAGTAAGTTTTGGCCAGGTTCTTCTTGCTTAGGGGGGTGGTGACTTGGTTTGGTTTTGGTTAAAAGAAATCGGGTTGGAATTAGGTAAAAAAAACAAAAAACAAAAAAAAAAAACAAAACAAAAACCTAGTTTCCATTTAGTTTTTAAAAAAAAAATGATATTTTTTTCCAATTTATTGACCTGATATATCAATTTGACCAGCCACAAATCGCCTCACCGTATAAAAAATGATGTTGCAAACCGCCTCACAAAAATGGTAAAGATTTACGATCGCCACGGATTTGGAGATCGATATATCGTCCGCGATATTTACAACAGTGGTTGCGTGTAATAAATTTCCAGTAACTATCCTCATAATTCGCCAGACAGGACTTATTTCAAAATGGCATGAACCTCTTAAATGCAGTTACAAACATGCTAATTCTGCTCATATTCAAAGGGGGGGAAAAAAAGAATTATGGCAAAAATTAATTAATGTTTGAAATATCACAACATACCCTAAAGAACAACTTATCTACAATATATATTGTTCTGCAAGGGCTTTTATAAGATTCAGAAATGTGTTTAGTCAAACCCTAGTTCTATATATTTCTTGATTTTGGGCAAAAAAAAAAAAAATACAGCCATACTCATTTCATAAACAAAGGGTGAAAAATAGATTTCAAGATTAATTGTGTCAAAATGATTTCAAGTACTCTTCCTTTAGATATCATAATCGTTATTTTGTCGATGCTGCCGGCTGCAACCTTGGTGAGGTTTCGATGCGTGTGCCGATCTTGGAAAGAGTTGATAAGAGACCCCGTCTTTATCAAAGAACATATGCGAAATCGGGCTTCTAAAGGTACGCGTTATCTCCTTCACGTAAAATTGGAACATTCAATTGATCGCACTTTTAGATTTCTTAACGATGAAACGTTCGAGCGATCTCTAGAAATTAGACTTCCTCTCGAGCTTTACTGGAAGAGCTTTAGTATAGTCGGTTCTTGTAACGGTTTGTTGTGCCTCACCGTGGCGGTTGACTTCGGTACGACCATATATTTGTGTAACCCCTTCGTTAGAACATATAAAACAATAAACCCTCCATCGGAGCAAAGTAATGTTAAATTTTCTTTAGGGTTTGGATACTATGACGTAACAAACGATTACAAGATTGTTAGGATTGCTTCCGTAATGGACGATGATATGGATTCGACTTTTCAATACAAAGTAGTGATGGCAAGTAAAATCGAGGTTTACTCAATGATGACAAATTCATGGAAGAGTATAGAAGTGGATTATTTCCCGTGGGGTTGGATCGAAAGAAAATCCGAAGCTTTAATCAACAACTCAATTCATTGGAAGGCGGTTTACCGAAGTAGGGACGAGGATATCGCGGTGATTTTGGCCTTCCATATGGGAAAAGAGGTTTTCTATCAAATCGATCAACCGGATTTTGAAGCCGATGGGGACGACTTGATGGAGCACATTGGTGTTTTCAAGGGAGATCTTGCTTTGTTCGCGTTTCATTTGACAGATAATTATCCTTGGCACGAAAAATGTCACTTGTGGGTGATGAAGGAATATGGGGTGGTGAGTTCTTGGACTAAATTGTACTCGATTAGGGTTGATGGTGGTGTCGTTAGTCCGATCATATTTACTAATAACGACGAGATAATATATGAAAACGGCGAGCTTGAGTTGAGCGTGTGCCGCCTTGATAGCAATGCAGTTACCCCCCTCGGAGTCGACAACCAAGGTTACCTTAGTTTGGTGACCTACGTCGATAGCCTCGTTATGTTGAATGGCTAGAAACGAACACCAAGAACGAGACCCTTTTTTTTTTTTTTTTTCTTTTTTCCTTTTATTCCGATGTTTAAGTACTGCATGAGTTGAGCGAGACGTAGATCGTTGGAATTGAATTAGTAGATTATTATCACTCCATACTAAAGTTTAAATATCTCGTCAATTACTAATTTTGTAATGGTGTTTGTCGAGTCTCGGATGGCAACTCGACAAATAACCTTCGTCGCCGACTCGAATGCTATTTATGTAGTTTTATATGGTAAACCTTCCTTTTATTCATCTGTCTTGTGTAATCTGTGCACATTCATCATCCTAAAAAAAATAGCTAAATATAATCAATTATATTATGAGATCTGGTATTTATCATTTAAGTTCCTTTGAAGTGGAATTAATGGTTGAATTTATTTTCAATTATTTATGTATAAGTTTGCATAATCTCTGAATTAATCCCAATGCTATTATATAAATTTTCAATTATATGGAAGGTTAACCATATATCACAGACAATAATTAAATTAAGAAGTAATGAATGGTGATATGAATTAGTACACTTCCTCATAGTTAATTGAATATTTATTCATAGAGAGTTGGCTTTTATTAATAAATTCTGTCCACGAACACGATTTATTAAATCGCATTAATCATGTGTAAGTGGCAATGCTGAAACCATGTTGATCGTTACAGATGAAGGAGATGAAGATCAAGCTTCATCTTTCATCTATTTAATTAACTACTTCCCTTATTTTTTTTAAAAGGGAAAAAAAATTAATTATTTCTTCCGAGTTTTATTTATTTATTTATTTAAAGTTGATGGGGTTTGGACTGTATCTCCAACCAGTCTATAGATCAAAAATCAATGAGTACATGAATAGTTTCACCCCAAATACTACAACCTAAAAAATAGCTAAAAATATCAAATGCCAAAAGTGGGAGAATCACACTTTTAGTTTCTCATGTTTGGCGATACCACTTTTGGTCCTCTTGTTTAAAAGTAAACAAATTTCACCTTCAACATTCAATTTTAAACACATTTTCTAAATTTGTTTTTCCGCCAGTGCCTATATCGTCGGTCTCTAATGCTGATTTTTTTTTACTTTTCTGTCTTTGACCGGTCAACATAGTATGGTTATTGTGAACACAGTAAAGTAATCTTACCATCTTACATAAGGGTGGATTTGGTAGGGCAACCGTACCAAACCCCTCGAATCACTACGATTATCGAAATTTCGGTATTATGAAATTCATTAGCATTGCCCTACCAAAAATTTTGGTATACCGAAATTCGGTATACCAAAAGTTCGATACAGTAGAGTATGGTAATGGTAATTACCAATTTATGCTACATATTATATAAGTATAAATTGAATATCATTTTTCCAAAGCAATTTAAGGTATACACATGTTTAAAATGTTCGAAACTAGTATTTAAGATAAAAATATTCTAAATACATGTTCTTAATCTACCTAATATAAAATATTTCTGAAATAAAATTATAACATAAAAGCTTTTAACATCACTTATATCATCATCAATGAAAGCAATTCAAAATATTTTTGACATACCTAAAGAGTATAATTAATTTTAACTAATAACAGTTAGTCAGGAAACTATGTTCACTTTTTATATATAATAAATTAATTAGTAAAATAATTTTTTATTTATTATTATTTATTAATAATATTTCTGTACGATAGGGTAATACCATTTTAATAATATTGAGTGCCATTGCCCTACCAAAACATTCGGTACGGTACTGTAGGGTACGGTAATAATTTGGTAGAAATAGTTCGGTAAAAATCAGTAGGGCTCGATAGGGCAACAAGTTGGTAGAGTTATCTGGTAATAAAAATCCACCATAATCTTAGTAATATTTATTGTGCTCAAAGAAATATTATTATTTTTGACTTTTTTTTCCAATTTAAACACAATAATATTATTGTACTAAGGGTAATGTTACTCTATGGGACAGTAATATTACAGGACAAGACAATAATATTATTGTCCTCTTAATAATGCTAATGCTAATGCTAATACTAATGATAATGCTAATACTAATGCTAATGATAATACTAATACTAATACTAATGTTAATACCAATACTAATACTATTACTAATACTAATACTAATACTAATATTAATACTAATACTAATACTAATACTAATACTAATACTACTGATACTAATACTGATACTAATACTGATACTAATATTGGCACTTTGCACCCTCGAATGATTACACCAACCTTAATGTACTATCCCCATTCAAGCCATAAAAGCAATATCCACGCTTAGACTTGCATCATATTAATTAGGAATAGCTTTACAATTAATTGTTCATACATATATATTATGTACTATGATGTGAATTATCTTCATTTTTAATGCTCATTAAATATTGTTTTCCTTCTACCTTGTGTGCAGGTAATTCTTATTTTATATATATTGGATTGACAAAACATGTATATAAATCAGTGAATTGCATTTGCTACTCGTAGAAAAATATCTAACATGAATTAATAATTTTAAAAAGTAATTTATGTGCACTATTAGCAAATGATAAAACCATCAACTGAAAGAGGGTTTTGTACATGCTATATCCGATGAAATACATCGGGTGATTTTAAACCATAGATCTACATATAATAACACACAATTATGTGTATGTGTACAAAATTTACCAAAGTTATGAAGCCTAGTAAGACATTGAATTGTCGTTGCACGCGCCGGTGGCCCAAGATTGTCAAGCCCATAATCCAAGCTCGTTTAGCTTTTAAGCTGACAAACGGTTTGTGATATATATATATATGCTAAATGGTTGACAGTAATATTACTGTAACGACAGTAATATTATCGTGTTTACAGTAATTTTACTGTCAACCACAGTAATATTAAAATAGTAGACAGTAATATTATTACGTTAATCGGTCAATAAATCAAACAAAATAAAATTGGGGAAATATGCAATACCCCCCTCATATGGGAAATATATTGAACTAAACCCAATTGACTTTATAGACTTTTACCTACACCCAAATCTCAGTTTTAATTTGTGAGACCCCCCTAAACCTATGTGATAAGACAAAAATACCCTCAACCACAATATTCCTAAATTCTAATTATTTTTCTTCCGCTCCCAATCGTCATTCTCGTTTCTCAATTATTTTTTTTTCTTCTCTTTTCTCTGTTCTTCATCCTACCAAACCCTAGATCTAATCTTTCCACCACAAAAAAATTGAGGAGGCAACAGAAGATCCCGACGGCAGGAATCGACAAACACAAACGGTAAAGGATTCAAAGGACTAGCAGCAGGATACCGATGGAGATCTAGAAATCATCCCACGCCGCCCATGTTCTCACCGCAGCCGCCGCCCTCCGTCAAAATCGCCGCCGCCGTCCTTTGCCAAAACCGCAACTGTTGAATTTCTACAAATTAACCGGTATTATTTATGGATCTGAATTTTCAATTATATTATTTTATTTTATTTTATTTTAATTTTTTTTTAGTTAAATGGTTAGAATATCATGAAAATTAGAAAAAAAAATTAACATTAGATTCTCCGAGTACCTAATACAAGGATGAACTAAAGGAGTAAATTGTTGTTCCCACAAATTATAATCCTAACGCCAAAAAAAAAAAGTTGTTTGGTTGATGGTCAGTGTTGTTCCTAAGCCAAAAGTCCGTTTTAATAGTTACTTTTTTTTTCCTACAATGTTCTACAATAGTTATATTATTTTGTTTGTTATGAATGCATAGATTTCAATTATCATGCATTTTATTAATTTTTGTGAGTTTTTGTTTTTTCGTATCCTAGAGCATGTTTGTATGCATTTGTATGCATTGACAATTGTGGATTGGCATGATAAGAGTTGTGATTTATATTTTTTTGTGTTTCATGTCGTTCGAATTCGTTTTATTTATCTGATAATGTATGAGTGTTCATACCATTTGGTTGTTATGAATTTTAACAATAAAATACCATAATAGTTACGTATAGTCGCTTAACTACACCTGTTATGTTTGCAAACACTTGTGCTCATAGTCATATATAGTCATATATTGTGTTTTACCTGCCGGGGGTTGAAGTATCTTTCTCCCTATTCATCTATCTTCACTTGATCTTAGTTTGTTTTCTGAAGTTTTCTGGTGTAAAATTCAGTTTGCAACCAAAAGAATCGATGATGCTGAATAAGATGGGCAAACAACAGGCTAATTGAAGAGAATCAGCTCTATAGTCATATATAGTCATATTGTAGTCATATTATAGTCATATGTAGTCGTGCATAGTCATATATATGACATGTATGTTTTTTCTCTAATGTACAATGATGTAGATGGTTGTTTATAGTTGAAGAATTCATACACACGATTTTTTGATGTATTTGTGTAGCTACAGGTGGATTTGTAATAACAAGGTTCAAATTGTAATTTTTTGTGTGGATGTTGATTGGATTGTTTTCGTAAATAATGGGCAATCTTCGTGTTTTTATATAATTTGGTAAACATGACTGTAGTACACTATATAATTGAAAATTTGAAGTTGAAAATGTAAAAAACGGCAATATAGAGAAAGAATATGACTATAGATGATATAGTCACATATAGTCATATTAGACTATAGTCATATTCGGCGTAGTAAAATTATTAGGAAAAAAATTGATTTTTTTGTTTAAAAAATTAAAAAAAAATCTAAAAGAAAATTTAAATAAAAGATTATAAAATAAAAAATAAAAAATGCTAAATGCAGTTTGAAATTGCTAATGCAGTCCAAAATTGATTTTTGCAAGTCCACATAATTACTAATGCTGTAGATAAATGAGGGGTATTTTAGGTAAAAAAAAGCTGGAGGGTCTATTACAAAGGATGAATTTAGGGTTGGGTTTATCTCTATTTCTTAGCGGTTGGAGGGGTTTATTGCTAAAGACCCCAATAAAATTTGCGGATAAATAAATACATAAATTAAGTTACACAATTAAAGCTACATAAATGAAGAACACGATTATTTTTTAATTTATTTTAATTATAAACATTCAAAAATAAAAGCTACATAATTATCATAATAATAATAATAATAATCTGCAATGATCAATTGCAAGCATATCATATCGAAAACTTAGCCTGGAGCTCTTCCACAGTCTTCTTATCCAACTGAAAAGCGTTCGACAAAAACTGACTACAAATCGCCGGTTTGGCCCCGAAAACGGCATTCGAAACCACATTTATCCCGGCATTCTGGCTATTCACGATCCCAAACACCACCGCATTCCCATCGGCCACATTTCGCTGGTAATGAACAAGTCCCACCGGGACAACAAAAGCGTCACCCCTTTCGAGTACCTTGCTGTAGTGTTTGTAGTTCGGGTACGTGGTGACGAACCCCACTTCAATAGACCCTTCTAGAACCGTCAAGATTTCGGAACCTCTAGGGTGAAGGTGAGGTGGAATGAACCCACTTGGCAAGAAATCAAGCCGAGCCACCGTCAAGCCGAGCGTGTTGAGCCCTGGAACTCGAGCCACGTTCATTGGGATCACGGACGAGCCGTAAGGGTTGGACGTGTTTCCGGCTGCATCGAACCCTCTAAAGAAGAAATCATCCGCTACTACGGTTGCAGGGTCCTTGCAAGGTAGACCATTGATTCTCACTAGCCCAAAAAATGTAATTATTAAAAAATAATACAAAATTAATAAAAAATATATATAGAAACTTAGGACTTACACATGTTTCCCCTCAATTACAATTTTTTCCAAATCAAATTATATATACATATATTTTTATTTAGCTCACTCAATTTTAATTATTTTAGTTTACCCAAAACTAATTTAATGCACAAAAAGTTCTATTAATTTTTATTTATTATTATTTTTTTTTCTATTTTATGATTATGTCCTTATTAATTCAAAGAAGAAAAAACGGTCATGAACACAAATTTCTGAACCCGCTACTGATAGTACTTATTAAATTACCTGTGCTAGTGAAATCTGCAACGCAAAAATCTTGAAGTGGACTAGGATCAAAAGCGTAGACGATACCGAAGAAACCGAGGGCTACGATGCAAAAGAAGATTACGCTCTTAGCCATTTTTCTAATTAAATTGGAATTTCTCAAGAACGAAGATTGGTTTTTCGATTGATGAAAATGGGTTTCGATGAGCTTCGTATTTATAGGATCTTCTCTCAAATTAATTAATAGAATTCAATTTTAATGAGATGTTTTTTAATTGGCCGTGGAATTAGCTGCAATCATTCCAAAACTATGTATTCTGGAAGAATATTCAATGTGTTCATAATTAATTAGGACTAATTGTGTGCGTTGATTATATGTTTTAATCACGTAGCTAGCAAGAGTTTTGGGATATCATCATCAGCCTTAGTCAAGGTGGTTTAATGTTACGATATAATATTTAGGGGAAAGTTCATTTTGCATCCCTGAATTATGGGGTGTGTATCAAACACGGTCTTCTATATAATATATAAAGGGGAAATATGCAATACACCCCTCAAATAGAAAATATTTTGAACTAAACCCAATTGACTTGGAAAGACTTTTCCCAACACCCAAATTCCATTCTTAATTAGTGAGAACCCTTAGACTAGTGTGAGAAGACAAACCTACCCTCAACTACTATAACCCTAATTATTTGCTCACCTACCACTTTCATCTTCTTCTCCACCTCTCCACCTAAACTCTCAAAACACTCCTAGAATTTCAAGCTTCATCCACCGCCGCGCCGCCACCGCCGCTTATCGTCCGCCGCCACCGCCGCTCATTGTCGGCGCCACCGCCGCTCATCGTCCGCTGCCACCGCCGCTCATCGTCGGCGCCACCGCCACCGCCGCTCATCGTCGACGCCGCCGCCACCGTCGCCTCTCTCACGCCGCGCCGCCACCACCGCCATCGCCGTTGTCGTCGACTCCCCCTCCCTCTCTTTCATTAATTTTCTACCTTTATTTATTTATTTTTCGATTTCTCTCTCTTTCCCTCTCTCTCTCTATCTCTCTCTCTCTGTTTTTTTTTTGTTTTTTTCTACAGATCTGGAACATATTTATGTATCAGTAGCAGCAATATTCTTTTTGGGAATTGTGCATATGAGTCATTTCTACATAGTAAAGCTAATCATTGTTGTCCGAGGAACATAGCTTATGATGATTGTGCAACTGTTTAATTTTTGATAGATTTGGTATCATAAAATTTACTAAAGTATGCATCAGTTGCACCTGCCTATATTTCGTACCTCTGTTAGATTTTTCGTTTATAGAAGATGATGTGCCGGTTCAATACCTGGTTTCCACTTTTATGATAAATCAATGTTTCCTTGCTTGCGAAGTGTGATAATGAGGAAATTTTGGGATTTGCTAAGCTGTTCAATGATGAACTCACACTAGATAATATCAGCAGGTTCATTTTTTCGTATTCATAATTGTATCTCATTGTTTAAGATTAAAATATACAACAATCATTACATGATATGGTTGTGTTTTTTGCAATTTAGGCCTCGTCTAGTGAATATGTGCAAGTACATGGGAATCAGCTCTATTGGAACAGACTCTTACTTGCGGTATATGCTACGGAAAAGGTTGCAAAGGTGTGTTGTTTCCCATTCCCTTCACTGTGGTAGCAGCAACATATAGTCATATTCAAATATGACTATAGTCATATTTATGTATTTAATTAGATGAATTGAAGCGTACTCCCCCTCCATCTTGTTCGTTAATTTTCTCCATTTATTTATGTACTTTCGATTTCTCTCTCTTTTTTTTTTCTCCAGATCTGAAAATATAATTTCAGATTTGTACAGTTGCAGCAACATGACTATAGTCATATTGAAATATGACTATAGTCATATTTATGTATTTAGTTTGATGAATTGAAGCGTACTCCCCCTCCATCTTGTTCGTTAATTTTCTCCCCTTTTATATGTACTTTCGATTTCTCTCTCTCTTTTTTTTTCCTCCAGATCTGAAAATATAATTTCAGATTTGTACAGAAGCAGCAACATGACTATAGTCATATTCAAATATGACTATAGTCATATTTATGTATTTTTTTCGAATATGACTGTAGTCATTTTGAATACGACTATTGTTGAATATGATTGTAGTCATATTCGAATATGTTCTATCTTCTCGTTTCAAGTTGACTTGAAAAAACAAGATTCAAATTGTGATTCTTTTGCGATTTTTTTTGTGGATGTTGATTGTATTGTTTCCCTAAACAATAGGGAATCTTAGTTGTTTTATATAATTTGGTAAACATGACTGTACAACACTATATAATCGGATTTTTGAAGCTAAAAATGTAAAAAAAGTGCAATATAAAGAAATAATACGACTACAATTGACATAGTCACATATAGTCATATTCAACTATAGTCATATTCGGCATTGTAAACTGTCCAAAAAAATTCAATTTTTTAAAAAAAATATATTTTTATTAAAAAAATATTAAAAAAAATTAAAAAAATAAAAATAAAAATAAAAAATGACTAAATAAAATCCGAAAATAATAAATAATAAAAAATAATAAAAAATAATAAAAAATCATTTTTTTTAATTTGGTAGCAATTTTTAGGAATTTGGAAATATATTTTTAGGAATTAAATTATGATTATGGAAAGAGAGAAAAAAAGGAATAATTGGGTGAAATTATGCTAATTGATATAAGGGTAGAATTGGGAATACAATTTCTAGGGGTTTATCACAAAGAAAGATTTAAGGGGTGGACATATCACCATTTATTAACTATATGAGGGGTTTATTGCTAATGACCCCATATATAAATTTCTTTTTTGAGTTTGTAACTACAAAATGGATCGTAGAACAAACTACTGATTTGTCGATTGATATTATATTTGTTAATGTAAATTATTTAAAGTAATAACAGCACCTGAAGTGGGGTTATTAAATAGGCTATCAAAACCTTTAACCGCCATTTTCATACTAAAAATAGTAATTTTAATTCCAATAGAGTTATGAAATAAGGGTTGTATTTTAATATTTCATCTTTCGGAATGTAAAAATATTTCATGCGGAATAAAATATCAAACATGTGTTTTGAATTTAACCACCTCAGTGTCCACTTAGAAAATGACATGTGACAATTAGATATATAAATCAATTTAATTATTTTTAATTAACAACCATTTAATACCCATGGTTGGAGTATATTAAATATCAAATTAATATTTGCAAAATCATTTTGATACTTTTGAGCTGGAGTTGCTCTAGATATGTACTTAATTATATTTATCAAAGTTATAGAGAAATACTTATTAGTGGAATGCGATATATAGTATATAAGATCATTATACATTTTAAACAAAACAATTGATATTTTTAATTTTTGGTATTAAATAAAGTAAATAAACGAATTTAATACCAAAGATTTAGAATAGCATTGTTATATTTTGAAATATATAAAATCAATATTTTTTTTATCAATTGATTAAACTTAACTTTGTTCTTTAATTTATTAGTATAATCATGAGAAAGTTTGTATTTTAACTAGTATATAATTATAAAAATTAAATCAATCATAAAATTATTGTCACTGGATTCAGTGAAGAAAAAAGAAAAGTTAAAAAATAACATGAAATTCATGTAGTATAATTTTCAATACAATAAATAAATGGGATAGTATTACTGAACTCATGGCAGGAAAAAAAATAGTGTCAATTTCCGCAATATAGTAAAGTCGAACATGTATCTTTCTTTTATACAGATAATGTTAATATAATATTAAATTAGTACAGAAAAAACATATTCTCCGGTTATGTTCGTATAAAATGTATAATATATTAATACCAAATGATTTATTCTGCATATCTTTCTAATATAAATCCAAATGTATTATTTAAAATACAAAATTTGCGTAATATCACCAATCACACAATTATAATGAGGGAAGACTTTAAATTGAATTTAACTAAATTTAAATTAAATTAATTACAATTAAAATTAAATTCAAAAATAAATATATTTATACATTCCAAGAGAGTTGATATATTTAGAGATTTTATAAAGGATAGTATATAAATATATTAATAACATAATAAAATATATTTAATTACATTTAATTTTTGAAATGATGACATGTTTTTTGATGATTTATTTTCACCAATCAATTTGCCATGGGATAAAATGAATACATGTCATTAATTGAAATTGCCAAATGTCAAGCAATTAAGAGTGAAATTCAACTTTTATACATTATATAGATTCAAATATTAGGGTCTTTCTAGGGTGAGACCACGTGTGTTCTAAACTTATATGAGATATGTATTAATCACCATTAATTTTCTAAGATTAAATCTGTACCCTAGGAAAATAACATGGCCTATGTTCTAAAAAATGAAGTATTTTACCAAATTATGCTTCGATTTTTTATTTATTAAATTAATATAAAATTGATTAACATTGAATTGTCTAATAAAAATGCATTCATTAAGGATAAAACTTGGGACATCTTAATACATTCATCGCTCCTAACCATCCAAACACATTAACTTATTATGATATATTTAACATAATTGTATAAATATTGTTAATTAAAATATTAACATTGATTATTATTAAATGACATTAAATAAATTATTAACAAATTTAATATAATAAAGTTTGAAAAATATAAAGAATTGCAGTTCAATACGCCAAACATCTATCATTAATTATATAATATTAGAATTATTAATAAACTCCACCATTTAAAAATGTAAAGAATGCTCAATTAAATATAAAAAAATGCATAACTTAATTCAAACTCACTTATGTTATTAAATCGATAGTGTGACAAATACAAATAAACAATAAAATAATATGTTTATTTAGAAGAACAAAAATTTATAATTCATTCCAATTAATAGTTTTCTCACTTTAAAATAAAATTATATACAACAAATACTATATTGTGAATTTTCTTTTAATATTTAATTTAATCAAATAGTAATATTTGAATCGATTAAGTTCAAATCCTTTCAATTAGTAAGCATTATTCAAATATGTGAATCGGTTGCTTAACTATTGACATAACATGTTACATAATTGATTTAACTATTTATAAGTAATGTCTAATATCTTTTTAATTTAATTTTGTCATAAAAAATAATAAATTTAATTTACACATGTAAGAACCTAATCGTAAATCGTAATATTTTATCAAAGCGTTATATTTGAACCAATTAAGCTCAAGTCCTTTCAATTTGTAAACATTATTCAAATATTTGAATCGATTAATTAGCGCGCTCAACTATTGACAAGAACGTCTTAATCAAATTAACTATTATTAATTAAAGTATAATACATTTTAATTCAATTTTATCATAAAAAAATAATTCCTAAATTACGTAAGAATCAAATCATAAGATTAATTAAAGCCTATGATTTGAATCAATTAAGCGCAAATCCTTTTAATTCGTAAATATTATTCAAATATTTGAATCGATTAAGTTCAACCACTGACAAGAACACATTAATCGAGTTAACTATTTATAATTAAAGTCTACTAT